GGTTGAACACCAAACACAACACAACACTAAACTAAACTAAACTAAACTATATCCTTCGTACTCGTAGCTAGCTGCTATATACTACTATGTTTGTGTAATGTATGTACCGTGAGGACTAAAAGGCATGTCGGTCTCCCTCCTCTTCTCTTCTGATTTCTGAATTCTCAGTTCTGATTTTTCATAAATCTGACTCACTCAGTCTCTGTCTCTCTCTCCGGACGGCACGCGCGCTCAGGGTATTCATTTTATTTTATTTTATTTTGTGCATTCATTTTGCATACAATACACCACACTACACCCACATCACATCACATCGCATATTAGTATTTGTATTTCAATCCCAATAATTGACATTCCCAGTTTTTGTTTTTGTGCTGCATCAGCTTTCCCTTTCCCATTCTTTAATTTCCTTTTCTTAGCCCTCCCAACGTGACATTATGTATGTGTCTGCCTCTTATTGGCCCTACTCCATCGAGTCAAGTCTCAACTTTCAGTTTCTTAATTTCACTACTTTATTAACTAACTGCTAGGTATTTTTCCGTGCATGGTTCGAAGAAATTACACCGTCCATGCTAATTTTGCTAGTCAGATTCACACTCAAAGTGTTACCAAGACTTGTTTTGTAATTTTTGTATTTGGAGAATGTTTTGATTTGGTCAAGTGTCAATCCACCAGTGGCGGCGTCACTAAAACTCTGTTTTTATATTGCTGCGTTCAACATTTTTATACATGTGATGTGAACATAAAAATTGCAGTCTTAGTCCCCTTCTTTGTATTGGAATTTTCAAATTAAAGTTGAAACAAAGGTGAAAGAAACACTAATTCCTTTACAATTAATCAAATATCTAAAACGATACAGCGTGGGATTCTTTCAATCTGAATAAGCTGAGGCCCACGCCAGATCGATAATTTTACATGGGTAATTAATCGAGTCATTCGTCAATACATAGCTATATACTTTTTTGGCCAATAGATTAAATCAAATAAACATTATAGGAGCCTAGCTAAGACTTAATATGTAGATAATGAGAGATCACCAAATATTGATTGGTTACTCTGCTATCTTATAACTTAAGTAATTTAGATTAATATGCCTTTCATCATCAACACTTTCTCTCAATCAATCAAAATTTTGATTGACAAATGGTTCCGCAAATCGGAAACATATAGACCCCTTCCTTTTCGTAGAATCTCCTCGTGCCGTCTCTTTTGATCGCACATTTTTGTTTCTCTAACTAATTATCCTTGACTTTTAATTACATGCTTTAAGTAATTTTTAGGGGTGCGAATTTTATGTGGTTAAGGGTTGTTTGATGCCAGACCATAAACTTACACGAGTCAGCTTGTTCACATGTAATTGTTAACTAATTGCGCTTACTGTAGCATTAATGTCCTAATTCGCTCAATAATATTATAAGATTACAAGAATGTCATGAGAGTCAAGTTGACAGGTTACTCAAAGTTGATGTCCAATGTGTCTTCCAATTATTAGATAAAACAGTATAAAGTATATGTTATGAACATTTAATTAGTGAGTGCATCTTTCAGTCATTGTGATTAGAGTATTTTTGGTACGTAGTGAAGAATTTCTACTAATTGTCATGCCTTTTGATCAATTCAAGTAATCATATCAGATTGAGAGCCAGAATTCCAAGGAAATATTCTTCAATAGATTGTTCTTTACAGTACACATATAGGCGCATCAAACTACCGTTAATAGGGCATTGATTCCTGATAGTAATTTTGTCAGAATAAAAGGTTTAATTAGTTGGATTTGAATTTAAATTTCGTAATATAGTAGTAATGATTGATTATTGCATTGTCTCTTTATAGCCTTGTACATAAGTGTCTCCATCTATGTTTGGCTGTAGTATAAGCAATATAATTCCAGACAAATTTTACCTATAATATTATAGGATAGATTCCCTACTTAACGATAAAAAAAGAAAACATTAATTGCTTATTATTACTATTGAAAACATTACGATTAGTTTTGTCACACAAATTTTATAGGCAATATCTTTAACCATTTTTCTGCTCTATCAATCAGTTCTGATTTTTTTTGGGTGGATTTTCCCGCTATATAACTAGAATTGCTGTTGGATTAATATTTTATTTTAAAAATATAAGCAATAATATGTTTCGAATATATAAAATCAGAATAAACAATGTAAATCACAACACTATATTTGCTGAATCAAATACTCTTGAGGGTCGTGTTAGGTAGAGTGGACCGGAGCAGTATGGTAATTAAAAACCTAAACAGAATCATTTGCAAGACCTCACCTACCAATGAAACCATGCATACACACTTATTGAATGATATTTTTATACAAGAGTGAAATGGTTAAATTTTAATCTTAACATAATCACATATAAGGTATCAAAATTAAAAGTTATTTAAAAGCTACAAAATACTTAATAAAAGTAAATATTTTCTTATTCTAATATTAACAATTCAAGCAAGATCTAATAATTGACATTTATTCTTTTCATTCTACTGAAAATTAAATGGGTCTCTCACGTAATAGACTGGCATTTGTAAGGGTCAGTTCTCCTTATTCATTCTACCAATGCGACAAAAAAAAAGAAGAAAAGAAAACAGATTACGAATTATCTCAAGCATCCAAAAGCAAGTTCTTCCGATAAGCCATAATAAGAAAAGGCTTATGAGAAAGAATGAAACGACGCATCGCTTGTTGGGTACCACAGCGAGGACAACGGACATGTGTTTGTTTTCGCTAGGGAAACGAGTGTGGGGAAGGGCTGAATTGAAGCCATGAGTTTCGGGCGCGCAGAGGCTCTTTCTTTTAGTTACTAGTTGTAGGGACAATCAGCTTTACACGTAGTTCCACGTGATTAGCCCTCACCTTGAACTTGTAATGATGGTTTTTGAACAAGGGAGAATCTTCAGCTAGAGAAAACCCTGAATCCCTCCTCCACAACCCCCAACAAGGACTTATCTTTTAGAAAACTTGATTACTAGTAAATTTTCCCATCATTATGTATATGCTTACTCTACTTCCCCACTTCTCCTATTATATTGATTATTTTTGTTATACGAGCCTATTGATTAATTTAAGATAAATATTTCATCTATTACTAGTATGTTTATATAGTCTTACACCTTTTTAGAAACAAAATTGAGTAGCAGTGAATATTCATTGGGGAAATTAACTTATCTTAAAAAAAATTAACTGGCGTCTTTACGATATCGATTTATAAAATTAAAGGTGAAAAATATTACTTGAAAACTTTAATTTTTGTTGGTGCAATTTGATATACAGATAAAATAATTAGTAAACTTATACATAGAAGCAACGTACGCCAGTAGTAAAACACCCATAGAAGAAAAACACGCGACTATATAGAGAATACAATTATAGCCATATGCGCAATAATTTATAGAAAAATAAAGATGAATTCAAATCCGTTGTCTGGTTTCTGTCGCTATGCAAGCAAAAAGAAAAGAAATTCAAACTGTTTGGATGCATAGAAATTAACGAAATGTCTTTATTGACACTATTACTCATAAGTGGGACAAGCAAAATGATTTCTTTCCTTACATAATTCATAATTGGTTCACCAAAGACCGCACGTATGATAGAATATGTAATGATCAGGGCATTAATAAACCTCTTCTAACTGAAGTTGGAATCATATAAGATCGAATGTAATAATGAGCTTAAGAAAAAAAAATAGTTATTTGCACTCATAACAACCACTTGTAGTCAAAAAATTCCAACATTAAAGAGTTGTTTATGACGAGGATGTCCAAAATGGAAAGTGGAAACTCAATGCGATCTTTCTCTTTCAGGGTCTTTTTAATATTTTGATTTTTGATTTTTATAAAGATCAGTATGTATGATAAGTTTCATTTTTTATATTCCGGTTTTGCTAATATCAATTTTAAGACTGATTTTAAACATTTTAAAAAAATTAATTGGAAAATTATTGTATCTTTAAATCATTGAAATAATAATAAAATATTTCTTATAATTACTTAAAATAAGTTCTAATAAGAATTGATTTTTGCATTGTTATTTATGTCACTATAAAAGAGAACTGTGATTTATTAAAGATTTAATGTTGATTAGCCTCACTAGTATAATTGTTTTCTTATTGAAAATTAAAGTGTTAGTATAAATATTTGAACTTACACTAACAATATAATATATTATACTAATAAATAATTGTATTATATAATAATGATTTAACGTTAATTAGCTTTTATATATTGTATTATATATTTGTTTTCTTTTTTGTCAATGTAGACTTTAATTTTTATTAGAAAAAATTATACAAATAAAAATTATTCTAACTTTTAATAATTTTTTATTTTTTAATAAATGAATTCTTTTAATTATATATTTTCAAAAAATATTTATCTCCTCTTCATTTTTTATTTCTCAATCTCTTTTTTCTTTTCTTCCGTGTCACAATATCATTATATTTTTACGTTTTTTTTTTACTTCTCTCACTAAGTGTATATATATATATATATACCATGAATATATAACAACCATTTTCCTTTTTTTTTTTTTAATCTTTTAGCTTTGATATTTACAAGTCAGTTTAGATTCCAACTAATTTAAGTTCTCTAGAATTATTTGAAAGAACAAAACTATTTAATCAATACCTAATTTATTTTCATATACAGAACTTAAATTTGAGGCGTTTTTGAAAATGGAAAATTAAATTTCTTATCGCTTGTATTTAGAACGGTATAAGGGTTGTTACGAAATGTATTAATATAAATATATATTATTGGCAGCCCTCATTTCTATATATTCTTTTGAGCGCAACAACTAGTACATGACTGCCAACGAAGCTGTCCTACTACTAGCATAAAACAACGAAGCTAGCCAATTGAATTCCCAAAGGCAAGTGTCATCATACAATTCTACTCCTTCAATCTACCCTTTCTCTCTCACACACCCATACATAGCAAACCCACTTTCTTTCGCTTTTCTTTCTCCACTAACTCAAAAAGCCTCACCACCCTTTTGCTTTTCGTGTTTTTGGATTGTTGTAGATCTACAAAGATAATTAAAGAAGATGATCCAAGAACTGTTGGGTGGTGCTAGCCTCATAGCAGGAGAAAGAAAACCCTCCATTAATGGAGGAGGAGGAGTTCTACTCCCAACTACACCATCCCCTTCTTCTCTTCCCTCTTCTACAACCAATGTTACCACCACATCCGCAACAACAACCACAACCCCCAACACCTCTGCCACGTCATCAACTTCAGAAAACCAAAACCTTAGATGCCCTCGATGCGATTCATCGAACACCAAGTTTTGCTACTACAACAACTACAACCTCACTCAGCCTCGCCACTTCTGCAAGACGTGTCGCCGCTACTGGACCAAAGGTGGCGCTCTTAGGAACGTTCCCATCGGTGGCGGCTGCAGGAAAAACAAGATCATCGGTGTGACGAACTCCGTGGCAAAGACAGCCTCGACCAAGATGAAAACCGTTGCATCGGAGCTTGGTAAAACCTCAAATTTTGGTCCTGGTGGGTTGGAAGTTGAGCATGAACTTCCACCCCCGAGCCAAATCCTTTGGGGCTCGCCACAAAATACTCACCTTCTTGCTTTGCTGAGAGCTAGCCAGAATCAAAACCCTAACCCTAACCCTAGTCCCATGTCCATAAGTGTCAAGGAAGAAGGGAACTTAATGGGCCACATGGTGGGTTCTGAGCCCTTGGTTTCAAATGGGTTGCTGAATCATCGATTACCATATGATGCTGTTTCACAAGTTCCTTCAGTTAGCCTATGCAGCTCGTTTTGGAGAAACAACCAAGATCACCAACCTCAACAACAAAATGGAGGCTTCGTACTTGGGGAACATCACAACACTGGAATTCAAGAGCTTTACCAGAAGCTTAGGTCATCATCGGTTAATAATTATTGTAGTGACAACTCATCACAAGTGCTTATGGGGAACGTGGCTTCTAATTATTCTTCTTCTATATCCAACAATATTTTAGAGCCAACTTCAGTTACCTCTGGTGAATTGGGATACTGGAATAATTCAACTTTTTCTTGGTCTGATCTTCCAACCACGAACGGTGCTGGTGCATATCCGTAACAGTGATAACTATTTTACTCTCTATTTTGTTCACCGTTCAAATTTTCACTTTTCTATTAGATAGTGGCATAGTGGTCCTGATTACTTTGTATCTTAAGAGTTTGTTTCTTTTATGGTTGCTTTGTTTTGGGTGGTATATGAATATGGACCTAGCACTTTTTTCTTTTCTTTTCTTCATTTTTCTCCCTCTCTTGCCTTCTATCAGTTGTTACTTTATGTGTAAGTTTGGTTAATTAATGGTGTGCTTGGTTAAATTATCTATGGTTATTTCGAGGACCAGAGAGTTTAAAATTGAATGGAGAACGCAGTGTATTTTTAGTGCTTCGTATTAGTTACCAAGTCTCTTCATTTTATTAATGCAGTTTTGCTTCTACCTATTCAACCTTTCCCCATCTCTTTACTTTCCCTAAAAGGCCTAATAAAAATTAATTGCTCTAGCTTCAGTGTACTAGAGGTTCCGTTCTTTTATATATATATATATATATATAATTGAATTGTAAGCACGAGAATACAACGATTTCAACACAGGTTGCTGGTGCGTTCGGGATGTTGATGTTATATCCAGAACACACCAGCTTCTTACAAATATAATTTTCTAAACGGAAAAGAAAAAGAAGAGTAAAGTTGGCGTGTAGAAGAATATATCATCATCTTGGTATACTCAAAACTTTAGGGTTTTAATTGTTTTCCTGTATTAAGAGCTAGGAGGTGGTGGTCCTAGTGGGTAGCATATGCATACGAAAGAACTTTGTTTTGTTACGAGAAATCGACAAGTCTAATGCAAAACCAGCCTTATGAAAGAGTTTCCTCAAATGGAATTGTAGGTTCTTGGTGTTGCTTGTGAGAGGAATCCATGTGTATCCTTACACTGAGCAGAGAGAACCTATCCCTGCCTTCTGTTTCTCCAGTATTGTCCCAAATTTATTTCCTTTCAGCACTGACAATATCTAATGATCTAAATACACACGCACTATGTTGTGTCTGGAACTAGCTGTCTATTCATCTTGATTCTTAGCATTCTAGTCAGTAATGTGAAGTGTGAACCTATCTAACGTTTTTCTAATCTATTATGAGAGTCTCACACGTTATGTCACAAGAACGAATCACTCAGTCACATGAAAATAAATAATTTTTTTATTGTCTGCCATTGCGCAGGCTCACAAGCTTTTGTGATTTTATCGGAAATTAGTCACAGATTCATAAGGTCTTGAACGTCCAGAATATGAGATGATTAAGTTAGTTCTGCGTTTGTTTTCATGTATGTGGATCAGGATAACTCTAACTTGAGAATCTCCCTAAGTAGAGCCGAAGCGAGCATGAAACTTGAGCAGCCAAATACAGAATAAAACGCTGTTAACCAAATATTTTACCTTACTTTTGTAAAATATAATGTAACAATTGAGATCAAACAGACGTAGTTACCAATACTTTTAGTAGCGTACGGAGAATTTGCACTATGTTTTACAATATTAATTTCTTTATTGATCTATTTTACAAATTTTATTTTTTATTTTAATGATATCAACTAATAATTTATTTTAATGATATCAACTAATAATTTATTTTATTATTTTGTAATATTTTATATCTTAATTTTTTTATAAATTTAATATTTCATAATTTGAATTTTCTATTGTAGTGGAGTTTAAATATAATATTTAATAAAATAAAAAGTGTATAAAAAATAAAAGAAAGATTGAAATAATTTAACCTTTAAAAAAAGTATACCGAAACCAAATAAAATATATCTGATATTTAATATATATATATATATATATATATACATATAATATTAAAAATACGTTTAAATTAAATAAAAACTGCATTGTTTAAAAATCTTTACATACTATTTTTGCATTTGCAATTGACATTTCACCTCTGTGTAAAAAACCTTTAATAGAATTTGACTGGGATGATGAGTGCGTATGTTATCCAAGAAAGACCGTGTAAGTATTCACGTGACAGTGTCACCCAAATGTTCACATGCTACAATGCATGCTCGCAAAAAGAACTCAAACGACGTGACTGGAATCTTTGAGCTACAAATTTATTCACATATGATTTTTGTGGAACTAAAATAGTGACATGCAAATCTTTAGTGAATCAAAGTGAAATGATACACGAATATTTAAAGGGCTAAAGAAGGTTAAAACTTCATTTTAAGGATGTCCAAACCCGTTATTACCATTGTCACCAATCGGGTCGGATTCAGGTTGTAAAATAATTCCGTCGAAATTCAAACCCCACTCAATTCAATACATGTAAAAACTTATAATCACAAACTTGGGCCTCCTAAATTTCTAATCTTATATCTGCCACTGGTTTGCCTCCTAAATTCCTAATTTCAATTTTAAAAAAATAAAAAAGAGTAGAATGAAAAAGAAATTCAAGGAGAGCAACAAGAATCAGTGAAAAAAGAAAATAAAATAAGAAAATATTTCCAGAAAATAGGCCGTCTCTTAAGTGTGTAGAACGTTCTCAAGTCTTTTTCTGAACCCTGAATTCTCATCACACTCGGATGCAGTGCTGGTGTTCTAGGTGATCATCAACCACTCTTTTGAGGTATCGCTAACTGATGAAATCTCAGCTAATGCTTCCAAGAGCTCCGACAACTCGCATCCTTCCAATCCTTCAGTAGAGGTGGGAGAGCGAATGGTTGCTACAGATTGTAATGATGAGGTAATGGCATCGAAGTTACTAGACATTGGCAAGAAGGTTGGTTTGGTGGTACATGGGAATGATGAGCAGGTTCGAGAGAAATTGATTGAGATGGAGGTACGTGATAGAACGATTGCGAAAGAATATGAGGTTCGCTTTGATATTAAATGAAGATTGGCTCATTTAATTGTAGAGGGTTGGGGAGTGCGGTAAAGCAAAAGAAGATGTGTGAGATTGTTCGCTCTGAAGGTCTGGAGTTCTTGGCAATTCAGGAAACAAAACTTGAAATATGTAATAGTAATTTATGTACGCGTTTGTGGGGTTCTGTGAATTTTGATTGGTGTGTCTTGCCTTCCATTGGCAGAAGTGGGGGTATGCTTTCACTTTGGGATACTTCCAAATGTAAAATACTTTTCTCCTTTTCTGGTACTGGATTCCTGGGTGTTTGCTTGCAGGTATTGGCTACTGAAAACCTATGTGTTGTAGTGAATGTCTATGCATCGTGTAGACTAAGTGAGAAGAGAAAGTTATGGGATGATTTGCTCATGACAAGAAGGGGTCTTGGCAAATTTATGTGGTGTATATTGGGTGACTTCAATGCTGTGAGACAAGTGACAGAGAGGAAGGGTTGTCAGGCAGACTATGGTATCTCTGAAATGAAGGGCTTCAATTCTTTCATTCAGGAAATGGAACTTGTGGATCTTCCACTTGTGGGTAAAAAATTTACATGGATAAAAGTGGATGCTTCTATGATGAGCAGACTGGATAGAGTCCTTGTTTCTAGTTCCTGGCTTGATTATTGGGGAGATGGTTTTATTCAGGTTCTGAGCAGAGATGTGTCTGATCATTGTCCCATTATTCTTAAGTACAAAGTGGTTAACTGGGGTCCGAAGCCGTTTCGATTTAATAATTGTTGGCTGACTCATAAAGAAGTTGTGGAGGTGGTGGAGGAAGCGTGGAAAAGAGATATTACCCTTCCATGGGCTGCCAAGAGAGCTAGCCAGAGGTTAAGGAATGTTAAGATTGCATTAAAAAAATGGAATATTGAGGTATTTGGAAATATTGATAAGGTGATCTCTGATTTGACAACTGAGTTGAGCTTGATTGATGATAAAAATTCTGTGAAAAACTTTCCGATGTGGAGAAGAAGCATCAACAAATGTTGGTGGGTGATATTTGGAAGGCTAGGAAGAATAGAGAGAGTCTCATAGCCCAAAAAGCTCGGGTGAGATGGGGGAAAGAGGGTGATTTAAATACAAAGTTCTTTCATTTATGTGTTAATGGGAGGCGGCGACGAAATAATATATATGCGCTCCAAATTGGAGAGAGATGTGTCGAAGAGGTTAATGAGATTAAAACAGGTGTGGTGTCGTATTTTGCGGCTCATTTTAGTAGTAGAAGTTGGCTTCGACCTACTATTGATATTAATAATTTACCAAGAGTCTCTGTTCTACAGAATGAGGAGCTTGTTACTGCTTTTTCGGAGGAGGAAGTGGGAAAGATGATTTTGGAGTGTGAGGGTGATAAAAGTCCGGGGCCTGATGGTTTCAATTTTGTGTTCCTTAAGAGGTTTTGGGGAGTGATCAAGGAAGAAGTGATGGGTATGCTTACTGAATTTTGTAGAAATGGGAAGCTACCTAGGTCTTTATTATCTTATTTTGTAGCACTTGTGCCAAAAGTGTCTTGCCCACAACAGATATCTGATTTTCGACCTATCTCATTATTAGGTTGTCTTTATAATATTGTTTCCAAGCTTTTGGCAAATAGGTTGAAAGGAGTTTTGGATTCAATAATTTCAGAAGAACAATCAGCCTTTATCCCGGGAAGGAACATGTTAGATAGTGTACTTGTGGCTAATGAAGTAGTTGATTATGTGCGGAGGTATAATAAGAGGTGTTTTGTGTTAAAGCTTGATTATGAGAAGGCGTATGATTCGATAGAGTGGGGATATCTTTTGTTTATGTTACGTAGCTTTGGATTTTCAGACAAATGGGTCAGTTGGATGGAAGCTTGTGTGTGTGGGGGAAGCCTATCAGCTTTGATTAATGGTTGTCCTACATTGGAGGTTCATATTGAGCGGGGCCTAAAACAGGGGGATCCTCTTGCCCCTTTTCTTTTTCTTGTGGCAGCGGAAGGGTTAGGAGTTCTTATGCGGAAGACAGTGACTTGTGGGTTGTTCTCTGGTGTGACGATTGGGGAAGGGGGACCAGATATTTCTTTGCTGTAGTTTGCGGATGACACATTGATTATGGGAGAGGCTTCGGTGCAGAATTTGTGGACTTTGAAAGCAGTATTGCGTAGCTTTGAATTAATGTCAGGTATGAAAATTAACTTCCATAAATCTTTTGTATTGGGGATTAACATTGGTGATGACTTTGAAAACTTGGCTGCGGAGTTCCTACATTATAAGATTGGTAGTTTCCCATTAAAGTATCTCGGGTTACAGTTAGGTGTTAACCCGAGAAAGCCTAGTGCATGGAAGGGTGTGTTAGAGGCTCTTAAAAAGCGGTTAGCATCA